ATAAATTATAAGTAAGAATAAATTAATAATTATCAATTCACTCGACTGGACAGTTTTTTCAAGGCCAAGTGATATCCCAGATTGGGAAGAACCATAAAAAGCCAATGAGATGGAGACACACGGCCAAATAAACAGACGTGCAGGTACAGAAAGGGAAACAGCCGGAGAGATCCAGCTGTAATTATTTAGGGCTTATCATCTCTCATCTTATCTATTTTTCATTCCATTTTTATATTTTATCTGTAGGACCGGCCTGTGTTTCCACAGAAGCTGGGTCTGGTCATTTGCAGAAATGTCACCTTGTGTGGCTGTATCGGAATGAGACGATGTGCTCTTTTTGATCAGATATCCAGACGACAAAGCCAAGGTCTGACTCTCAGAAGTAAAATATTTTTCCCATTTTATTTTGCTCATCTTGCTTTGATCACTGCTGATTTTGCATGAGTTTCCTCAGTGTCCCTTTACCAGCCAGTGCAGCTCAGTGAGACATTTAACATGGACAGCATCAGGACAAATGTGACACTTGCTCCCAAGGCCTCAGTATAAACCATGCTGCAGTGGCTGATGTGCTATTAGAGTTGTCAGCAGGGCGGCATATGTCGAAGTCGAGCTCCACTCTTCCATAGCTCAAGATGGGAATCTGTCAGCTGTAAATTACACCACCAAAGTCATCATCAGGGTGTCAGTCTTTACAAATGAGGTCTGCAGATGCGGCCAGGCCCGAACACAATCTGAAATCACCTCTATTTGTTGCTAAGTGCAAGGATAATGGAAGTAGATGACTGTCTTCCTCAGCACTTGTTTCTGTGTCTCATGAGTGGATATGGGAGAGGAGGAGGATTCAAGGCCTTGGGAAGGAGGCTGTGAATTTTGACTCTATCTTGTTTCTCTCCACCCTACCTGTGAAAAGAGGGAGGGACTGAGGGTGGAGATAGAAACATGAGGGAAAAAGAGTTTAAAAAACAGAAGCACAAGCAGAAGTTAAAAGAAAAAAAGGATTCTCCATAAAATGACCCATTTTTCTTATTTACCACCTGGGAACAGATGATGTTTTTTTTTCACCATTTCATGACGTTTTGCAGACAAAACAATTAATAGATTAAATCTTTCAAATAAAAAATTATCTGGAGTTCAGTTTACTCTAATTTTAATAAGAGGGGTAATTTTGATATTTAATCTGGTATAAATCAGAATGAATACAGGCATACAAATATTATTATAATAAGGACATCCTTATGCTACTAGGTACTCATTGCAATACAGAAGCAAACAATACACCCACAGCAATAAAATGGTGGATATTAATAAATATATTTTCTTAACAAGACAGCATTATGCTACATTAATAGATCCAGCATTAACATTGAAACTAAGTATGGAATACCAAAGGACTGCAGTGCATAGCAGTGTTTCAGAATGCTGAAGTGGCCTTGGTATTCTGTTCAAATACCAATTACAGTTTGTTTTGTAATTTGTCCTTTGATATGTGTCACCATTGACGTCAAGAGCCAAGAGCCTCCACGCTACCACGGTAACGAGTTCTGTGTTACCACATCAAGCAGAAATGAGAAACCAGGGGGTCATTACGAGTTTCAATGGCTTGTCCCGCCACATGAGGCCCCATGATTCACGGCGCTCTGAATATACACTGCTGCTTTTGTAGGTCCTTCACACCAACTGCCTTCCTTAAAATTGTTACAGGCACCTGTTCAGACGCACTCTAATATTGATTAAGCTATTTGTGTGTTCAAAACAGAATTCAAAATGGTTTACTGACAAGAATCAGTCAGGAAAAGCAGTAAGGAGCCCTTCTGGATTGTTACTGTTTAACATCATTGTAGTGTAATTGGATAAAAGCACGTTACACGCGCTTTCCTTCAGTCCTTCTTTGCCTATTAGACAGCTGACATTTGAAGTCCTGCTGGACCATGTTCAAACTCCGGGGTTAAGCTTCATCACACTATTGAGAGCCATGGTGTGTCTCCTGTCAGAAAATCATTAGTAAGTGGGCTCCTTCAGCACATTGGGCTTCTTCTGAACCATTCTTGTGATTTGAAACCTTGAGAATTCCTTCTTTGAAATAGCTGAAAGCAATTATGTGCTTAGGATGGGAGATGGCTGAATAGGGTGGGAGGTGGGACTACTAACATTTGATTTGGAGACTACTTTGAAGTAAAAACGGGGAGTCACTGCTGCTACAAAAGCTTGTAGAGGTGTGTGTGTGTGTGTGTGTGTGTGTGTGTGTGTGTGTGTGTGTGTGTGTGTGTGTGTGTGTGTGTGTGTGTGTGTGTGGGGGGAGAGAGAGAGAGAGAGTGTGTATCTGAACATGTGCACTGAGTGAACAGTGCCTTTTTTCCCTCTTATATAAATGACTCAGAGTGTAAAAGAAGTTTTATTCTTTCAGTCTTAAACTGAAAAAGAGCCTCTGCTTTAATCTTGCAGACCACAGCAGACTCTGGCTTTAAGGTCACATGGGAACCAGATCAGCCACTGGAGCTCTGCTACTCCTGTCATAAAAATGTAATAGAGGGAAGCCACAGTAATTACAAATATCTAATATAGTGCTCATGTTTTGTCATTACCTTGGACCTGTCTGAATATTTTCATAAGTCTCTATAATTGAGAGGTCAAATATGATGAAGACAAAAACCCTTAGAATAAAAATTATCAGTTAGTCTACTTATTATTTTCTTGATTAATTGACTGATTGTTTTGTCTATAAAATAGTGAAAACTGTCTACCACCATTTCCCATAAGCCCATGACATGTTCAAAATGCAAATTGGTTTTGTCCAACAGTCCAAAGATATAGAATTAGATATAAAACAGAAAATAGTGTAAGGTGACTGAAACAGCAAAAGTCAAGATTGCTTTTATTGTCTCCTGAATAAGAAAATTGTCTTGGACTGAAGGAATTGCTGCAAAAGAAAAACAGACAAGTCCCAATACACAATAAATAATCAGTTTGTGCTTAAGCAGTGGGAAACTGTACTTCTTATCAGGATTCATCAGCTCAACACGGAGCTGTCAGATAATCCTAATGGCCTGTTAGTTGGCAATTAATCAATTATCAAATTAATTTTATGTCAACATACCTATCATTCAAGCTCGAGTCAAGATATCTTTTCCACCTGACATTTAGGATAGCAATATCTAGTTAACTGGTCAGTATCTAACTTTAAACTGCTTCAACTCGATGCTGTTCATGAAACGCGTCCAGATGTTGGTTATCAATAACTTTGTGCACTTCCATCAGCTCTCCTTGTTCTTCTCTGAGTGAGTTTTTCTTCTCACATCCCCACCAGATTGTCACTGATTGATCTGTTTCCCTCCAACTGAAACAACACTTTGAAGGTTTCCTGTACTTTCTTGACATTGTTTTGATTAATTAAAAGGCAGTAAAAATCCAATGTGATTGATCAGTCACTGCCACCTGCTGAGCTGAGTCAGTCACATCTGAAAGCTTCTCATCTCCTGATTAATTTAGTTAATAGGTGAAGGCCTAAATAATAGCTGCTTTTGTTAAATAAATTGCTTCTGACGTGGGCAATAGCACTTTTGCCCGTTCTCCTGGAAGAAAATGTTTTATTTAATAAGAGTGTACTAATGCACCACACAGAATCTATCCGAATCTCTCCCATATTTGATAGCTGCCTTTTCTCAGAAGCAACATTAAGCCGGAGTTTTTTCATACGTGCTAAAATTCAAATTGGTCTGGCTTTTTTTATATTGTCTCCAAAGTCATTATCTTCAGTCTAGGACCAGCTTCTGTATTCATCTGCTCTCAGCTCACCTGAACCAGCGGTGAATCTTACAGAATCTCAGAATCTTACAGAAACTCAGAAACCTTTCCATCCAACTAATCAATAAATCATAATTCTCACATATTGAAAGGAAACTATTTCTGTCCGGATGATTAAAATGTAGCAGAGTAACACCTTAAATTGAAATAAAATTTGATTTAAAAAACAAACTAACTCTAATAACTCTTAAGTTCCAAGAAATTGCTTGAAATGTTTCACCTTTGTAATATTTTACTGTATCATACAACTGTGAAATAATGTGTGGTGACTCTATCTTTCTACACTCAGTGTGCCTTTGATAAATACAATAGAATTAAAGCTGTTAACAAATGAATAGATTATGTCCACAGAAAGAGCTTTTAATCCAAAAGAGATACTGGAGGTGTTAAAAAAGAGTTAAAAAAATTATTGAAATTGTAGTGGAGGGTGTATAAATTGCTGGCATAATGTCGATATGAATATGAAAAGGATAATTTTCTATTCTGTCTATTTTTGCTGGGAAAGGCGCACAGCTTATGGAAAGAATGGAAGAGGTCTTCTGTTCTTTTGTGAATCACCGCTGCTCTAACCTGTTAACATGAGCAGTGTGTCCATGCTGTACAGGGTGGGATTATCTAGAGTCTTTATTGCCTTTTTTCTCCTCAGTTTATTTTATTCTTATTATGGTTTTGCACTGATTGAATGTCAAGTGGATACCTGTAAAACTTGGTTTCCTCTGGTATAAAACTCTGCAGAGAATCCCACAATGCAAGAAAAATCTTTATTTTTCCTAAAATAAAGTAACTAAATGGTGACTCAAAGTTATGCAACACTAGACTGTCAGTGGTGACTCAAACAAATGACTTATAAAAGTCCAAAATATCAATGTGCTGCTCACCATAGAGCACCTTTCTGAATGTTTGTCATGTAGAGAAAACATGAGCTCAACAAAAGCTTGAAGGACTATGAGTTGTAGCCTGTCTCTCTGCTTTTATCTATCTCAAATATTTGAAGCAAACAGCACTTGCTCCTGATTTCTCCAACAAGCAGATTCTGTTTGAGGGATCAAGACACTTTGACCCTGGCCTGGGAAATTCTGATAATGACTAGCAGCGCAGAAAAATATGTTTGCATACACTGAACTGAGCATCTGTTCCTATCCCTCTTGTCTCCTCCTCTGTCTGTCCATCTACCTCTTTACTCACCTCCTCCTGTGCAGGTTCACCTGTTGAAGGACCAGCTGAGTGCGGAGGCCACGGCTCGGCTGGAGGCCCAGGCTCGAGTCCACCAGCTGCTGCTGCAGAACAAAGACCTGCTTCAGCACATCTCCCTGCTGGTTAAACAGATCCAGGAGCTGGAGACCAAGATGTCTGGACCCAACTCCAGTGAGTAGATCAAATACGAGGCTCATGCGCTTACATGCTGTAAGCTGGAGGTTATATACATTAATGCACACTTGCTGCCATGTACAAAGTGCATGTACAGTGTGTACAGCTGCAGAGAAACAGACACACATTGATGTTTTATATGAAGGCATGAATTTTTTATATTGTGGACAGGGTAGAACGAGATAAACAGAGGACAAGAGACAAAACAATATGTTTGAAAGACATAGACACTGTAATAGACCTGACATCACTAATCAGCCTGCTTTGCCTGACACCACCAGCCTTCTGATCCTCAGTAAAGGCAAAGAAAAACCTAGGAAACAATATGGATGAAACCTTGAGTCCAACGTGAGTAGGATTCTGAATCCCACAGAAAAATATGCAAAAGGTGCTGTGACAAAAACAATAAAATGGACAGTGACGGTAAGAAAAAAGAAATGAAAGATGGACATGACCGAGGAATAAAGATGGTAATTTAACATTTTATGCCACCACCTCTACTGCAGGTCAACACACACATACGCCTCTCAGTTAAAATCCTCCCATGTGACAGAGCAAACATCCCACACGCCGAGACAGCAGACATTTCCAGCTCTGTATACACCCCGAGTGAGTGCACTGCAGACCTAGACAGGCTTCTAAATGTAAATTCCAGTATGAGACTGGATTCTGTTGTCATATCGACCCCTCGCCGCCCTGTTTAACATGCACCGCACACATTCTGTCGCTGTTCTTTCGCCCACGACCCCCTCTGTCCTCTCCGTCACTCTCCCCACAACTTCACATATTGTTAAGCCTGCTCATCAGTTATTCAGACAATCTTCTCTGCGCTATCGCAGTCCAGTCTGCCCTCCAATCGTCACCCTGCGAGAAACAGTCTTTTATCTGATCAGCCAACATTTCAGGTATTCTGTGGGGAAAGTATTTTCTCTCATGCACCTCTGCATGTTGGACGTTTGAAAGGGACCTCATTTCCCACAAGGTCAACAAACTCTTCTATGGTAAAAAAAACAGATCTTAAATGGACATGAAATAGTATTTTAAGCACAATGAAATCCAGTAGTCAGATATTTTAACAAGTTTATGGAAACAGACCTTTCTCATGACACTGACTTGAACACAGGTACACGACTCATAACATTAATTATGGCTGTATAGTGCGTCAGTTTCAGCGTGGTGGGATTACATGCTGGCTCACTAGCATGACTTATTGACACACCTGAATGGAAAGGAGCCATCATTAATGTTATTAGTTACACACCTGTCATTTTCACGCTATCACAAGCGAAAATGTCCACCATGAGAAAGGTCTATTTCACAGCATTTGTACCTCATTTTGTACAATTCTACAACATGAAACATGGTCTGGTTGTAGATGAAAAGAGGTGGGGAACCCATGCAGGAGGTTTAAGCCCAGTTCATTGCTTGAAAGCCTCCTTTCCTTCAGGACTATCCAATACTCACCTCCTGTGGTGGCTCAGAAAAAAATGTAGTTTGCTTTATCGCATAGAACAGCTTGGGTTAACGGTTACTGTGGCGTCATGGTAAAGAAAACATTTAATACTACTGTAAATATAGTTGACAGGATTTTTTTAAACCACTCTGCTAATGATCTGTATGTCCTGCATTTATATAATGCTGCCAAAGTGCTTTATAATTTGCCTCTCATTTGGCCATTTACATACCAATAGTGGTGAGTTATAAAGGTGCCTGACCATCGGGAGCTATTTGGGGTTCAGTGTCTTGCCCAAGGTCACTTCGACATGTGGACAGGAGGAGCTGGGGATTGAATCACCAACCCTGAGATAAATGGACAACCCACTCCCCTCCTCAGCCACAGCGTAATAGTCTTTGTAGCATTTATCATATAAGACTAAAAATGAGCCCAGCTGCAGTTCATGTGATTTGCACTCAGTGCTGCTAAATGAGAGCTGATGCCGGGCTGTTTTGATGCTTGTTGTCTGTAAAGAAAGTGTATTCTGCTGCAAAAGGAAGGCCGTATGTGAGGAAATATTACATGGCCTGATGTTGTCAGCTCAACAAAAGGATCAGTGATTGCGTGAGTAAAAAATAAGATTTGTGGTAAAACTGCTTTAAACTGCTTTGACTAGATAATGTCATCAAACATCATCTGCTTGAGCCATTAAAAGTCAGTTAAAACACATTCTAGCCGAAGGCAACTGCAGGGAAGAGAAAGGTAAAGTTGTGTTATTAATAACAGTTTGTGGTGTTGCTGCTCTTTAGTCTTGTGTTGTGGTGCAGAGTGGAAAGGCCCAGTAGAGTAAGGCGGCGTTTCCACTGACTTGATCAAAACACAGGCCTCTCATTCATTTGAATGGAGGCAGTACATTGGCAGCAGCGTTGACCTGCAAAAAGGTTGAACCTGGCTCAACTTGTGCTTCAGCACAACGTCATCCGGCAAGTATTTCCACTGCCTGGACCTCAAGACGAAAGCCAAAGCAGTTGCAGGGAAGTTCAGAGAGTTGTAAAATCCTGTCTGTGAGTTTTTACAAACCATTGTACGTCTGATTTGCCTTTAAATTAACTAAACTGTTACTGTATAACTGTACCTTAAACAACACGTCACCATCAACGCAGCCCCTGCACAGTTTTAACACAGCTGTTTTCAATCTGAATCCCCACTAACTTTGTAATGCATCTTTTAATTTGTGTTTATCTCACATGCAGTGTTTCAACCTGACTATTGTCTTTCAACACTCCATGTGGTTGTGATCAAACAGTGCCGCAGATTTTACACAAGCTTTTCCCAGACTTTAAATTTCAGACGCACAACAGAGAGGAAGTAGATTATTCTGCAGGAGTGAGAAGTTTCTCTGGATGTTATGATAGATAGCTACAGCGTCGGTCCTATGTGAAGGAGCAAACTACAAACTTTTTAGAGTCATCTTTCAGATGGGCAGGTTAGTACTGATACTGAGTATTCCTTTAATGTATCTTTCTCTCAGTTGTTGAGCTGCAGGTCTGTTTTCTGTGCCCATAAAGAAAGAAGCAAAACATGTTTCACTGAGCAGCCCTTATGATGATGAAATGCTTTGAAACATGTTTTTTTTTTTTTCCTTTTCTTGCTTACCCAATCTAAAACCACATTGATTTATTGGTAACTGAGTGATTGATTTTGTTAGAATTTTCAAGGAGCGGTAATCTGCTCTCCGCCACAATTCACAGATATCTATATCACATACGTTATTCTTCTGCCATGATCCAGCGGGAGGGGTGATAGCAGATGAATTTAAATCAAGGCACAGAGCGACTCTTGACTGTGGTATAAAATATTTGATCTGCCCTTTATTTCTTGTCTCTCCCTCTGCTCGTTCATCACTGTCCACTCCCTTCCCTCTTTTCTACCTTTTCTCCTCCCTCCAGTGGGATCTCAGGACAGTTTACTGGAGATCACCTTCCGGTCTACGGTGCCCTCAGTGATGTGCGACCCCACCACGCCTAAACCCGAGGTGTCCGCCATCAACCTGCCCGCACTCTGCACCACCGACGGGACCAGCAACGCCTTCTCATCTTCCAATGGGAATCTGGGAAGCCCCCTAGGTAGGGACCAGTGTCTTCTCAAACTGGAGTGTTTCCGTTTCCTCCCCGGGCCTCCGCCTCCTCACCTCCCCTCGTCTCCCCCACTGCTCAAGGCTAACCAGCCAGAGAGCAAAGGTCAAGAGGTGTCTGAGTTGTTGTCCCGTGACGTCAAATCTCTGGGCTTCCTGGACTTTGCCAGGTTCCGCGAGTCAGGTATCGCCTCAGAGTACGAGTCTAACACGGACGACAGCGATGAGGATGAGGGGGAGGACGATGATGAGGGGATGGATATCTTTGGCTGGGGGACGGACGAGGAGACGCTGAGGCTGCTTAATGTTCTCAACAGACAGGGAACTCCTGACTGTCTGGGAGATGAAATAGCGGTGTAACACACAAACCTGCTCCCCTGACGAATCCTGTCCAGATAAATAGCCATGACTTGTTTTTGTCCCTTCACTTCAGACTACTGTGTAGGAATAACCATGTAGAGAACTAACCTCCATCTGGTGTGCACAATTACATATACAAGGCTTACACCATGTATTGGTGTAATGTAATTGTAGTTGCATATGAGAGAAAGGAAAGACTCCAATAGATACATAAATAAAAGCAACTTTAATTTAGGCGGCAGGAACTGAGGTGGAGACAACTCGAGTAGCCCCGATGTGGTCAAAATACATATCACGGTCTTGTTCGGGTAAGATCCTGAACGTATAAGTCACTGATGACATTTATTTATTTATTCATTTATTGCACATAATAAGTTATTATAAGAACATTCCCCTCCCTCCAGTGTGTCTGCTTTGACATACTTCTCGTAAATAATATCTATATATATATTTGATTTATCAAATTATTTATTTACTATTACTATGTTGTATCAGTCTTGGATCAGGGCTCCAGCTTGAGTTAAAAAGGTTTAAGCTTGAGCCGAAAATGTGTCCTGATCCGTCAATGTAGAGCTCTATGAATGTAGAGAGGCACCAGAGGAGACGGGGGTTCTCGTTTTAGGGTCAGCGAGTCAGTGCATGTCGTCAGCTAGGGCGTCCGTCTGTAACCGTCACACCTGTTGTCTGTTTGCTGCCTATACATATGTAGTTTATTTGCATTCAAATTTTAAAGTAGACAAATATTCAAATAATCGCATCACATTCACAGTCTTAACTCCTCTTACAAATATTAGCATCACCTTAAGTGTCCCACATTGGTCACACCTGTAACACGTCTCTCTGTATGCATCTAATCTCTAATCTATATGCATAGTCATGTATATACACTTATTTCTTACAATCCTTTGCTTACTTTCCTTCCTTTACTTTTTACTCTTTTCTTGATTACACACACAGAGCTCTTATCAATATAATACACCCACTCCCAAAATCCCCCCCCCCATCAGCTCTCTGTTGCTAAGTTTCTGGAGCTCTATAACAAAATCAGGGAGTTTACCTTAAAAATATTTCCTCCTTTCGAAACTTTAAAATTGTAAGTTAGTCTGTCTTTATCAGAAACATGTCAGGATGTAACATGAAGTCAAACCAAAAGGTTAGTTCAGGGGCAAGCTTTCAATTTGTCAGGATTGGGAGTGTAGCTGTCAGTCATCCCGGCAGGATGGAGACAGAGTTTGGGACTGGAGAGACTGATGAGCTCTTGTCCTTGCTGGAGTGAAAAGTGACTCTTCTGCTGAGCAAAGATGAACACTTACAGCCAAATCCGAGGAGGAACTTTATTACTGTCTCTATGTTTGGAGAGGGAAAGTCCTTTCTTCCTCAGCTCATAATTAATCAAAGACTATTTTTTGACAAAAAATCTGTGTCTGTACTGTATGTACAAACTTTGTTTTCTACGTCATCCCACAGTCAACTGTTGAACTGCTCCGTCCTTGACTTCCGTGGGCAGCCCTCTTTTTGTCTCCTCACAATTTGTTGACTTGGTAGTCAGAGCATGTTTGCACTCTTCTCACTTGTCCACACATTTCCCCGCTTTTTAATTTATGTAAAGCCGGGATTAGTTGGACCTCGAGGAACGCTGTTTGTTTCTTTTATTCATCCCGTAAACAAAAACTCTTCGCTCGTGCCAGAACAGCAGCTCACGGATGACAGCCAAAAGTGGTCTTGATTGTTTAAACCCAGCTCTGTGTATGGCGTCCAAGCACAATGCAGTATTAAAGTGTTCATTTTGTTTCATGAGTAAAAAGCCACAGAGTTATCTTTCTACGCATTGTAGCCCCGGTTTATCGGAGCACTGCTGTCAAATCAGTGCAGACAGGCCAGTATTTGGCAAAGGTAGATTCTGCAGAGATTTAAAGGGGAACCAGGGCCAGTTTTCAGTGTGCTCACTATCTTTTGCAAAGAGCTTTAGCCTGATAGGATCAAACCAATCTAGTGTCCAGTAAAGTAACTCCCAGTTAGCCACTCAGTTTCTGAGGGTGTTTGTATGAAAGGATAACAGAGATTTAGATTCTGAGATGTTTTTTCTCTGAAAGTTTGTTTGGGAATTTGTACCAACTTTGCTGAATCTAGTCTAGTCTAGTAGTCTAGTCTGTAAAGTGTGTTGGGGCCAGTAGTTCTATAGCAAACTATTCAGACACAAATGAGGACCATTTGCTATTTAATCCCAGGTTGATGTCTTTATGGGTCCAAACCTTGGACCTGATCCCAAATGAATGTGGGGAAAACCTACAGAATGCATTAAAATAATTTAAAAAAACAAATAAATGAAAGACCCAGTCTAAGAGAGGCTCAAGGATAATTAAACTTGATCTAAAATGCCGGTACCCCGATCAGACAGAACATAACATAACACTGGCATCAGCATGAGGCTCCACAAATTACAAGCAGCCACCACCAAAAAGAGTGGAAAGGCCTCAAAAACATGTTTTATCCAGTAATGATGACGATGCCCCATCTGATCAGGGATGGTAGCAAGTCTGCTCGGATCCTCTTGAGTGTTAGATGTATCATGACACAGACCCACAGAGGTAACAGAGGAACCTACGCAGATCAGAATAGGCTGGATATGGTTTTGATTTGGGTTTGGTTCTGGCAGGTGCAACTGTGAAGATCTCTAGTCCCAGGTACCCTAAGGAAAAGATTTTACTTGTTGATTTTGGGTTAAATTTCCATTCTTAATATGATCTTTATGACAGAAATAACAGGAATTGAGGGATGAGAGAGACAGAGAATGACATGCAACAAAGGTCCCAGGCTGAATTCGCACCCTGTTCCAAATGAGTAGAAAACATCTGCTGAGTCAAACTGGGAACAGTATGAAGGATGTCCTGTCTGTTTGACTCCCTCTCCTCCACGTCCCTTTTCTTCTCGTCTCCTCATCTACCCTTTTCCAACTCTTGTTTTTTTCCTAAAAATGCTTTTTATAATATGACAACTGTGACATCAACACATGGAAATCATACTTGTGCTCCTTTTCAAGATGCAGAATTCCAGGTGACAGGCTGTCAGACTACTCACCATCAGGGCAAAAGATAAGAAAGTGAAAGAGTTCACAGACATTAGACGAACGTTTCATCTCGAGTCATTCCAGCGACTGATGCAATCAACGCCAGATATTATGATAATTTAAAATCTAATGAAACAGCCCTTGAAAATATATTCAGACCTGTTGCAAAAAATTGTCAGTTAAACACGTCTCCACACTGATATTGCAGTCATTCCAAAAGGTGAGCCCATCTCATGATTCAATAATCACATTTAATCAAAGAACATATTGATGAAATTACGTCAATATCAGGTTCAATCACATTTTTGATTTATGCAGAGAGAGCTTACCTGGAAGCTTCGGGACAAGGATGTGTCTGCAGAACAGACATTATGAAAGTAATAACATGAAGGAGTTATCATTAAGTTATTTTATTTTAAATCACTTATGTCCTCTCACTTGTGCCCTCAACCCACAAATGCGACCATTTAAAATAGAGTAATGTAGAGAGAAAGTCTATGGTGTCTGACAATATCTAGTGGCTACACAGCACTCGTGATGAGTTGTCATCCCTCCTGAGGTTGAGGAGGTTGGTGCTCGTACAGTAAAGAAGCTGTCAATCAACTGTTTCCAATACCTGTCAAATTAAATTCTGAATATACACACAGAACGAAGCAGTCAATAAGTAAGGCATAACACACTACAAGACAATTGTAATGGATGACTTACTTTTGCACAATAACACTACCTTTCAGTTTCAGTGAACGTTGTCTAAATCTTTGTATCTATAGAAGGCCAGTTATAATGTCATATCGTATTTTCTTTTTATTTCTGTTCCTGTAAGGACTATGTCATAAGTATAGAAATAAAACAAAGAGCACAAACTCTGCTTTCTGTTTCTGGATCTTACCCTCATGTTATTGCCATGTCTTAACTTGCATGTCTTTGTTCTTAAATCTGTGTTTTCTGTTGCAGCCTGCTCTTGACACTTTTTTCTTTTCTAGCATCTGGGGTAAATACTCTGGGTTCTCTCTCTTGGCCTTCCCTTTTAATATCACCTATATTTCTCTCATGTGTCTGACTTTAACCTTATTCTTCTGCAATCTCTTGAACTCTGAGCTCTTCCTCCGACTTCTCCAAAATGCCAGACATGCTGTATTTCTAAACGGTCTCTTGTTGCTGATTTATCTATTAGAGATTCATGTTGTGTGTGGTTGCAGAAATAAGTACAGCCCCAGGCCTTTTACCTTGACAGAGACGCTGGAGGTCAAGGTAATCCCTAGGCGAAGGTCCTGTGGTGCAAAAGTAGTTGCAAGGAGCAGCTTCTCAGAAAATGTTGACTGATATTAACCTTCTGTTCATTGGTGTGAGCTCACCCGAGGGAGGACATTAGATTCTTTTGTGAGTTATTTGTGGGGAAGATTCAGTAAAGTTTGACAGTTTGAACTTATTCCTACATTCCTAACTAGTTATTGATTCAGCCTCTAATACACTTTTGGGATACAGTCGAATTTTGGAAATAAGAAGGTGTGTGTGTATCTGTGGGTGCTGGTGTGTGAGGTCAGTCATGGTCATCTACCATACTT